GACCAGAATCAAGTCCTTGCATGGATCCGCAATTCTATCGCGCTCTTCACGCCTGTAGCGAAAGAAATCACAACAGTTTACTATGAAAAGTCTCCGCAACATACCTATTACAAAGGATGTTCGACCGGAGGAGCCCAAGGCTTTGCACTTGCTCAGTATCACCCTCAGCTATTCGACGGCATTGTCGCCGGCTGTCCGGGTAATTGGTACTCACATCTAGCGCTGTCCTTCCTGTGGAACCAGCAGGTAACTCTGGTAAGTTCATGCTGTTCTGAGTCTATGCCTGGTCTTGAGAGGCCATGACGTTACATTTCTCGGCCCAGGATGGATTTCAGGAGTTACTGCTAACGCCTCTCAGGGCGCTTCGTTCTTATCACAAGAATCACTCAACTTGATCGCAAATGCCGTGTTAGACAAGTGCGACACTCTAGACGGTGTTGAGGACCGAGTCCTCGAGAATCCACTGGCATGCACATTTGACTTGGAGAAGCTCGCTTGCACAACGCCCGCAACTAACTCGTCGTCTTGTTTGACTTCTGAACAACTTACAGCTGCCAAGAACATATACGCGGGACCTCGCCATTCCCAGAGCAATACCAGCCTCTACCCTGGATTTGATCTAGGCAGTGAGTCGGAATGGATGATGCAGGAGGGTCGTTTGTCTCTTTCGTTCTCTCTTCCTCTCCTGCAAAATATGGTATTCGACGATTTGAATTACAATGGCAGCACATTCGACTGGGCTAGCGATGTGGATGCGCTGGACCTCAAGGTTGGAAGCTTGATTGACTCCATCAGTCCTAACCTGACTTCCTTCAAGGACAGGGGAGGAAAGCTTCTTGTAACGCAAGGATGGGCCGACCCTTTCAACGCGGCAACTTGGCCCATTGATCATTTGAATGAGATCACTCAGGTGACAGGTGGCGATCGAAATGAGTGGTTATCTTTATTCATGGTCCCAGGTAAGTTGAGATTGGTAGCCGCCATTATGTGGCCTTCCTTGAGTGGGCGACTAACGAGGTTCTTCATCAGGTGGTGGCCATTGCGGAGGTGCCTCGAGTTATACTCACGTTCCCGGGAAACAAAACTCCCTCGAAGCCCTGGTCGAGTGGGTGGAGCAGAAGAAGGATCCTGAAGCCCTTTTGGGAACATCGCCCGCAGATGGAAGCGAAAGAACGAAAAGGCTATGCCGATGGCCTCGTACGGCCCAGCTTGTCGGGTCAGATGTTGACAGTTGGGAGTCATTTGTATGCGAATAAAGCCCTGGTGCTTCAAGTAGTCTCTAGATTGAGTTGCATGCTCTGAATACCTTATGGAGTCCTTATGAGGATGTCGGCGGCTTGGATATAACGATTGGAAATCGCCAAAGTTGGCATCACCATCTCGAGTGATCAGGGGTTCTTTTCTGTTTCCAGATGCTTTGGGAGTATGCTCTACTGTGGTCTCAATGCCAACTATCAAGCTGATTGCAATGAGCGAAAGAATCTAGCGGCTTAAGCAGGCACAAAGGTTTACATCGCATGCCGAAACTAGAAAAGCATGCGGTCGCAACTAAAATGCTACATTGACTAATTCTGACATGATAAGCCCCGGAAAACAACATATGGTGGCCTGGCACTGTTCACCTGTCGCACTCGGCATGGCCTTGAAGGGATAAAAACATTGGTCACGTATTAGAATAGCCATTTCGTCAAATCATAACTGCCACTCATTCTGCTAGATGCGCTAGGTGGTTCTGATTTCAAGCCCCAGGTTTCACCTATAGAGCGGATCATGCCGACTCCTTACTTTGTGGATAGATGCCGAGGATTGGCGAGTCTTTACGAATAGTCCGAACCGTTCGCGACTTTTAACGGCTTTTCCTAAGTCCCCGCCAACATCAAATACCAAGGGTCTCCTGGGCACTTTAGCCGCTTTTAGCAGTCCTGGAGCGGCGTCCATCCTGCGTCTCTCCCGCAGAGCTCTCCTGTTCTCAGCCGTGCCACCCGTTTCCATATTCGAGGCTTTGGCATAGAAGCGGGCCTATCACTGTGCTTAGTTCCAAAAGAAAGGTCCTCGCTTGGTCAGACACGCCTTGTAAGATCATATCGACTTCTGTTGACAACCCATCACTTGTATTTCCCACTCCCCGAAACTCGGGATGTACCGAGGCGCGAGAGGTTCGCATGCGCGATGACTCTTTTCTGCATCAATGAAGGGGCACATTCAATTGATTATTCGAGCTTGGCGTTTCATTATGATCAAGACATTCAATCGCTCTGGATTGAGATACGAGCCCGATTTTCAACTCAAATGTCAACGCCGTGGCCCATCATAAATGTACTCTGTTCACCATTAGTGCCCAGCAACTCCAATCGTACGACCAAATAATATGATCCAATTTGCAGAATGTATGATACATGAGCTAGAATTCGGTTCCAGGCAGGAGATTTTCCTGGTTTGTCTGAAGTCTCTAGAACTTTATTCTGCGTACAATACATATTATCTAGTATCAACTTTGATAGATGCCGGTTGCTGTCAAGTCGCTCTAGATGACGGAAGAAAATAAGACAATGCCCTGAACTAGCCACCATTCTCTCGCCGTTTGTGAATCGAGGTACATTATATGGCCCTCTTTCAATTGCAATGATCGGAAGCACAGGACACGAATGGCCACCTAGGTATTTCAGGAGGCGTCACCAAGAATGTGGTCCAGGCCTATTTCCTGGATGGGAAGTGGACTCCATAATGTACCTTTCAGCTCATCAGTAGCCGTAGCGCTGTCTCTGAACCTTTGGGGATTGTATTACTGGGGGCTTGGCCATTGTCTTATCGCCAGGGTCACATCAAAGCTGCGATGAAACTTCTTCTCAAGTTTACAGTCCTGTGCGTCCTGGACGCAGCGATAATGGCTTCCATATCATGCTACAAAATAAATCTTATGGGCACTTGTTGACTTCCACTATTCTCGTGTGTCCGCTAACGAAGTGACTGAATCACAAGTCCCTTCGCCTGTGCTATAGATGTAATTTCAACCAACCCATGTTGAAGGCCACATCGGCGCTCAGGGGTTTCCCTCGCTTTCTCCACAAAATTGATCCCGAGCAGGTCGTTTATGCTTACAGTAGCGTGTTCGGAGGATTTTGCCAGAGTTTTTGTCCAAAGCAGGGATTTCATCCGAGCTCTAGCGTTTGCCGCTTTCTGTTGGCAATCTAGACCGAACTCTTGGCTCGGAATGGGCGCCTACATCCCGTTGGTAAGCTCCACAAGCATGTCTAGGTTCAACTTCGTAACCCAAAGTTTGATTTACGATTTACTTGTGCGTGTGTGTGCGCTATGATTAACACTTCTACTCAACTTTATATAAGGCAAGTGTTGATCGCATCTACAGGCTTCTCAACTCAGCTCAGCACACCACCGTGATCTATCCTATCATTCTTCTTTCCACTCGCTCTTTATTATACACTCTTTACCTGACTTGAAGTCATTCCATTCTTTTCCGCGTATCTCCAATCGCAAACATGAAGGCCACTGTTGTTCTCTCCGCCGTCCTTGGCTTGGTCTCCTCGGCCTCTGCTCACTACACGTTTGACAAGCTCCTCGTCAACGGTGCTCAACAGGGCGGTGACAACACCTACATCCGCAAGCATCAAAACAGCTACATGCCCACCAAGTTCAAGAATATCCCTTCGGGCTCTATCTCGCCGACTGATGCCGATTTCTCTTGCAACAAGGGGGCCACTGCGGCCGCAAAGGTCTTCACCGTCAAGGCTGGCGACAAGGTTGGCCTCAAGCAGGCCTTCGGTGGCACCGGCATGCTTCACCCCGGCCCCACCCAGGTCTACATGAGCCCGGTCAGCAATGCCGCCTCCGATAAGGGCACCGGGACCTGGTACAAGGTCTCCCAGTCCCTGCTCTGCAAGGCCGGCAACGCCGAATCTCTCCGTACTGGGGCGTGGTGCAGCTACGGCGAGGACAACGTCCACTTCACCGTCCCTTCGACAATCCCCAATGGCCAATACCTCGTCCGTGGCGAGCACATTGGTCTTCACGGCGCTCACAACGGCGAGGCTGAGTTCTACTATGCCTGCGCCCAGCTCGAGGTTACTGGAAACACTGCTACAACCATGCCTGGCACTGGTGTCAAGATTCCCGGCGTCTACAAGCAAGCTGATGCGGCCGTCAACTTCAGTCTTTGGGGCAGCTCAACCTCCTACAACACCATCCCTGGCCCCGATGTCATCCCTGGCGGCACCACCCGCGGCAGCGCCAACGGATCTTCTGGCGATAAGTCCGTGACCGTCGCGGGAGCCAGCTCCGCTTCGTCCGATGTTGGCGCTAAGGCCGACTGCTAAGCGACAGAGTTGACTAGGTAGTCAAACTTTGGGCAACACAGCCACCAAAAACGTCTTTGGCTTTTGAGGCATCGTGATAGCCAAATGGCTCTCCGGTCCATCACATGGGGGCTAGAGGCCACCCTTCTTGAGGACTCCTCCGGAGTGTACGTATTTTATTTCATGTATTCATATATCCAGTACATACTTGGCAGTCGGTGACTGCGGGTACATAAAAAGAATCGAACTATATTCGTCAATCCAAAGCTCCATTTCTTCTTGAGGATGCGATCAATGCTCTGATCATCTCCGTGGTATTTGACCCCAAAGCGTAATGTCCGGCCCAATTGAGGTCCTCGTGGACAGGAGTTTTCCGCGCAGAACCGAATTCTCAGGTTATGTTGTGGGACGCATGAGTGGTCTGACTCTTCATTTATGAAGTGGAAGCCTGGTGAATCACTTGATTTGTTTCTATGAGTGTATTGCCGCATTGGTGAAAAAAAAAGTCAGCCGCAGTCTGGGCGTATGCGAGTTACTAGGTTTATTTCAATATTGTTTTCTGGTGTTGCTTGTGGTTGGTCCAAAGTGACTTGGTGGCGTCAAGTCCGCGGCAAGAGACCTTGGCGGGGAAATGACTTGATTCAAACATCTCTCGACTCGCATTTCACTTTGAGTCACTACCTAGAGAGCATTTCCATGGGGTCTATAACCGACAATTTCTCGGATTGCCAATGACGACGATTGAACCTCTGCGACTTGCTTCGTGACGACGACCACTGACGTCCGACATGGCAGCTGCGTCAGGGCGTACTGCCCACCAACCTACCGCAAGGGAACTCGTGGAAGGGATTGCCGAGGAGCATGGCATTGTTTCTGAAAGCGACCTGAGGGAAATTGGAGCCATGAATCAACGCATTCGATCAGTCGTAGAAAAGGCTCTATTACAGAAAGATCAACTGATCGGTTCCTCGATTTTGACGTATGCTACTACCGCTCATCAATCAGGTCTGCTCAGTTGCAACTTCGACAGCTGCTAACCGTGACTGAAGCTTGGCGAAAAATCTCAACACTAGTCATGCCCGCTTTGTCTTCGAACTTCTTCAAAACGCCGATGATAATAAGTTCGTTACAGCATACAATCGGGGTATTGCGCCTTGTGTAAAGTTCAGCGTGTACCGAGACCGAATCAAAATTGAGTGCAACGAGGATGGATTTACCCATAACGACCTCAAAGCCATCTGTGCGATTGGCCAGAGCTCAAAGAATCGCAGTCATGGTTACATCGGGGAAAAAGGTATCGGCTTCAAATCCGTCTTCATGGCTGCCTACAAAGTCAACATTCTCTCGAACGACTTTTCCTTCAGCTTCACCCATCGGAAGGGCGACAGCGGGCTGGGGATGGTTACCCCTATCTGGGAACCAGACTTTATTCCGCAGAGTGAACAAGCCCCAAGTTCCATCATACTGCATCTTCATCAGTACGATGACGCTTCTCTCTCAGAAGCGGCGCGGCAGAGGGAAGAAGTTAACAGAGAGTTCGAAAACCTTCCAATCACAGTTTTGCTTTTTTTAAGGAATCTTCGACGCATCGAAATCCAGTTTCACGACGACAATGATAAGGAAACAAAACGAGTGGAGTATTCCTTTTCAACTTCAAGTCCGAGCACTCTCATAGAGAGAGTATGGCTATCCGACCATGAGTCTTCTTCCGGCGAGACTGTCCAGAGAAAGCATCATGTCACACGTCAAATGATTCGAGATGCTCCTCCAAACGAGAATAGGGAATTTTCTGAAGGCAATGGCCGTACGGATGCTGAGACCGAAGTTATCTTGGCTTTCCCCCTTACCGATGATTACACCCCCATCATTGATAACCAGCCAGTTTTCGCGTTCCTTCCAATGATGCCCTTGGGCTTCAAGGTGAGTAGGCGTTTGTAGCAAAGCATTTGGCATCCACAACATCGTTTCGAGCATGTGTTGATCCACAAGCAGTTCATTATCCAAGCTGATTTCGTCACCAACTCGTCTCGTGAAGGAATTGTGATTTCATCTGCACGTAACTTGGCAATCAGAGATGGTATCGCGACTTGTTTCCTCAAAGCCGTGGAGGAGATGTGCCAACATCCCATATTGCAATTTCAGTGGATGAGGTGGCTTCCACAGAGACATTCGTACCCTTGGGATAGCTTCTGGAGTGGCTTGCTCGAAGACATTGTAAGCCGTATCAAGTCAAGCAAGATTCTTCGCACAAGGCGGAGCGGTCACCTGGGCGACATCCACTCGCTGCGTCGCCTACAGTCCAATTGGCTCGACGAAGCTGGGTTTCCGTTATTCGACGACCTCGATGCTGAGGTTTATGTTGCCGAAGAATACCAGATCAAGGATCTAAGTTTACTTGAGCCGTACGGTCTGAAATGGCTGTCGGCAGACGACAGACTAGCTCGGATGGAACGGGACCTTGGCCAACCGATTGACAAATCAAGGATGAAGAATCCGTCCACCAGTACACAATGGCATTCACTAGCTGCCAGTACGATTCAGAGACTCGTCGCTACCGCGTCCCCACAGAGCCTAGCGAGAATTCGCACTTTGGATATCATACCTCTCAGGGATGGCAGTTGGACCTCGATTAATCGCAACAGACGACCCATTTACTTCCCCTTCTGTCGGAATGGTCTTGAAATTCCCGCAGATCTTCCCTTGTCTCTTGTTTGCCCAGAGGCATCTACTGTCGATGATCGTTACAAGCTTTTTGAACTGCTCGGTGTTCAAACAGCAGCGGTTGAAGAGGTCCAACAATTGATCTTTGAGGCTCCAGTTCCGACGCTGAAGACCGAGGCTACTCTGCTAGCATCCGTCAACAACATGAAGTTTCTATATTCATCTTACCACGATACTTCTTATGGCGTAGAAAGCTCAACTGCAATCGCCAAGCTCTTTGTCTTTGATCAGACAATGGATATTCAGCTAACTCATCGCCAAGATGTTTACCTCGCCACAAGCAGTCCCTATGAGCCTTGCCGTCTTTTACAGCCTACACCAAGTCAGCCAGACGGGTGCTTTGTGTCATTTTTGCACGATCAGTATTCCGAACGCCCTCCAGAGACACCAGCGGGATCGGAGCAGACATGGTCTGATTGGCTTGAGCGTGTCCTGCGAATACGCCGTCGGCTGAGACTAACCTCTTCTACATCTCCGGAAAGTCTTTCTCCCGAGCTCGACTACGTCCGCGTTTTTCGTCCCGAAAGCTTTATCGAAGCACTTCAACATCATTGGATACTACTGAATCACGATGACTCGAGTACCGTGAAGTTCCTTCGCAACCTTCGAGACCTCGACATCACATGCAAAGACGGCAGGGACTACCCCCTCGCAGAGACAACTTTGCCACTATTAGAGCTCCAGGCTATCGTTTCCTCATACCTTGGAGATTCAACAATCAGTTTCCTCCAAATCAATGAAGCCGCTCATTCTGCTTCATATCATTCAAAATGGGGCTTCTTAGTCAACGAGCTTGGTGTCCGAGCTCAAGATGATGTGAACTTGTATCTGTCAATTCTTGAAAAGGTCATTGAAGGTCAGCCACAACAAGGGAGCTACAGGAAGATTCTGGGTCTCTACGAAATGATACAACTTCGGTATGAGGAGTCTGCATCCAAAGAGCAAGTTGCCACAATTGTGAGGTAAGGAGCTATACCCCAGTTTCCAAAGAAATTGACAAGCGACAAGTAATTGATAAGACGTAGAAACTTCTGCCGCCAGAGACATTGCATCCTAGTTCCCATGTACAACAATCAAGAAGAACAAAGAAGGGCCGCTCTTGGAATCTCTGCAGCTGAGAACAGTACACTGATCTGGAGAAGGCCGGATACCTGTGTTTGGGCAGCCCCAGGTGTCCCGTATGCTTACACTGCTCTTGAGGGGCAATTCACGAATGATTGCTCCGAAGATCGAGCGGATTCTCTGGAAAGGTTTATGAAGGCGACCCTGGGAATAGGAGATTGGGACGAAAATTGCTGCATACAGGAGCTAAAGCACATGAAGGGTGAGAATTGCGATGATTTCGACTGGGTTGTGGAAATCTACGAGTTTCTTCACACCTGCGACATGTCAGAAAGTCAATTGAAGGACTTCAGGTATGTTTCATATCTCATCTTCAACGAAAAGTGTCTGATTTTGTCACTTCCAGGACCCTCTTCAGGACAACGCCTCTCATATTCGTTCCAAATGGCGAGACGTTCAGATGGTGTACAACGGCTGAGTGCTTATGGTCAAGCGGGGCTAAGATTCAGGGACGAACGACTCTCAGCTCCATCTACGAAGACTTGGAAGACTTCTTCGTCGAGACACTCGGGGTGCAAAGACTCACTCTTGCAATGGCGTGCGATGAGCTTCTGAAGAAGGGCACTGAGCAAACAGCCGCCACCATTGCCGAAGTTAAAGAGACAATATGGGCGGTGAACACCCTTCTTCAGACTGCAACGGTGTACCCTGACCCAGAGCATTTACTGGAAAGTGCCATATTTCCTGTTGAGTATCCAAGTGGGCAGGTCTGTCTCGAGACGTCTCGCACACATTTCGTTATTAGGGACCGCAAACCCTTAGCCGAGATATTTGCTTCTAAAGTCAAGTTTTTGGACTTTTCTCTTGATGAAGTTCATAGGCTCAACAACTTCTTTTCTTGGTTGGGTTTAGAGTCCCGATATCTCTCCTCTTCCGTAAAGGAAATCTCTACTGTTGCCAGCGATTCTCAAATCAGAGTGCAACGTCCTGATAGGGATATTAGAAGGAGAGCAGGTGGAATCTCCAGGTACTTAATAACAGACTTCCCTGCCTGAACTCTCATTCAGGTGGTTCTCAAGATGGGAGTTTCACTGACCTGATAATGACACTAGGGTTGCGTCTCACTTCAACAGTCCTCGTTCGGACGACGTCCATGGTCTATACCACAGACTCCGTGCCACCGAAGTATTCGAAACGCATGGAATCTCATCTGAGATTCACCTTGTTCAGGATGGTAAAGCACACATCCATGTCAAGTCATCAAGCGAGCTTCACATCCGAGAGGCGGCTGGCCACTTACAGATATACGTCCCTCTGAGCAAAGAAAGGCAGGATTTCTGCTATCACTCGAGTCTCCCAAGGCGTCTTCTGGAGTGGGTTATGACAGAACCGGAGACACAAATTTGTGGTGCAATACCACACCGAGCCATAAGTGCAATGAGCTCAGCCCTCAACGCACCGATCCAAAGCGTATCACAGATTCTAGAGGCAGAAGGGATTATTGACTTGGACGGTATAAATGAAGACGATCAAGGCCATGATTTCAAAGGGACTTTTGATGCCTCGCCTCCACCTGTGGCAGACTTTCAACTCCAAGGTTTCGCGGTTGAGATGCCCATAAGACCCTTCTCTTTGACGGGATCCCGTCCCGTTTCCGGACCTGCTGTTACTCATCCTACGTTTACGCAGCAGACAAGTACTCCCGCTTCACCTGATAGTAACAGAAGTTATCGCTTGCAGCCGACCTCACCTGTCGGAGCGGCCGCCGCAACCCAACCATCGGACATCTTTCATTTTGGGCAAATATCCACGGCACCCACTGCTACGACCTCGCCCAGATCCGATTCGTTTGGCGTAGAGTATCTGAGAATACTTAACAACGTTATCTTTGCTGCGCGGCGTAGATCTTTTCCTGACTTTGGTTCCACAAGAACGGGACAGTCAGTAGAATGGGCCTCGACCCCTGCTTCCAGTCCGTGGATACCTCCAGGAAGTGACAAGAAGATCGGCGCCGCGGGCGAGCTCTTCGTGAGTACAGATAATTCAAGACGTGTTTACTTTCTTTGATACGGCTCTCAATGACTACTCAAGACTCTTTGCTAATTGGCGGCATTTAGGTTTATGAACTGCTCTCGCATCTCAATCCCTCACTTCCGGGGTTCGGCATGGACAATTGGCAAAGTACGATGCGAAAACATGTAGCTGTCCATCCCGAATATTCCTACGTGACTCCTTGGGAAGGTCAAGAGACTGCCGACATCGTCTACGACGACAGGTCTGGAGTTCTAACCAAGATTCTTATCGAAAAGGGGTATTTGGAGCGAACCAAGTGGATCGGCAAGAAACCGCAATACTTGATCGAAGTCAAGACTACGCCCGGCGATGCTTCAAGGCCGTTCTTTGTGAGCAAGTATCAGTACAACAGGGTATGGCTTCGAAACCTTTCCCAATGGATGCATTGTTCAATTTGGCTGACCAACGTTCCATGGAAATGCATAGATGAGGTCTTACACAGATGCGTCAACGTCCCCGGGTGGAACTTGCACAGTTTACATGCTACTCCGAGTCTTCAACCTTACTGCCTCGGACATTGACTTTAATGTCTACATGGACCCGTATGCTTTACAGCAGGACGGCACACTGGTCTTCACGGAACATACTTGGCAGGTGGTCCCAGTGCAAGGCAATAGAGCTGCTTGACGACTTTGAGTCTTCTACTGTTGGAAGTTGTCTGAGGCCACGGACTGTATCTTCCAAGGCCCAGGTGAGAGTTTGACTGATGCCATACTATGGTCACGCTTGTCTTTTGTCAACCAGATGAGTTTCTAGATTTATACCTTTCCAATTCAGATAATTCGGATGGTTCTACCTCCATGAAGGCCGTCATTGATCGAGACATTTTCATCGATGTAGTTTGTTCCGTTCTGCAGCACCTCAATCTCTTCTGCATCGTCGGTTTCGACCAGCCCAATCCTCTTGAAGACTTTCCTCTCCTCATCTACGGCCATCAACAGAAGACACCTTACAAAGCCATTGAGTTCGTCCTGCTTCTGTGCGACAACATAGTATAGCAATCCCTTGGCGTTCTCGTCGTCGAAGCTTCTCTGGCCAACATCCATATGTATCAGGGGACCAATGTCGCGCTGTGAATCTTTCCTCGAAGCCATGACAATTGCACCGTTGACTTTCAAAGAAAGGAATTGTCGTTGGCCGATGGACTTCACAAACATTTCGAAAGGCAGTACACAACATCTAAGGTCGACATGCCCTCCTTTCACCAGACCTGTTTTGTTTGACGACACGTACTCAATTTGGACGTCTTCCACGTCTATGAGTAGTTTCGATTGATCAACTAGGGGCCCCGTTATGATCTTGCCATCGACTGAGGCCCAAGAGAATGATGGAGCCCTGTACGCATCGGGTCGCTTAGACGGGGAGCCATCAACCTGCGACTCCTTATCAACGTGCCAGAGAAAATTGCTAGCTAGATGCTTGCGCCACATCCCAACGACATAAGTGTCGTCAATGAGAGTTTCGAAATGCTGAGCTATACCTGAAAGGGCCAACAACTTGTCAGATGCCATAGTCAAGCGCGTTCTCCCATACGCTCTCACGATTAAATCCCAAATCCGGTGGTAGAATGTGGGGTCGTCAGGCTCTCTCTCTTGCGACATGACATCGGGGCCGTAAGCTCCTTTACTGAGTCTCTTGAACTTTGTCGGAACGCTGTTTGCCAAAATTTCTGGCATCCTCTCTGGATAACACTCGGCCGCCGCCTGCTCTCTACATTCCCAGAAGAGTTGATCGCGGCCAAAGTGAAGAACACGTGGTGAAAGCAGGCGCTCCTGTAGAACCCAACCGCGCTTATTAAGATGACACTGCCCAACGGCATGGCCCCAAAATGACATGTCGATAATGCTGCAGTCGACGAATTCCGTTTCCATTCCAAACCCCTCCGCATTGAGGCACAAGTCGGTAGTAAGGCTCACTCTCGGATCCCGCTCGAAGAAAAGGCCTTTGGAACTATCGCGTGCTCCCGCTGCAGAGATGTTGCAAAATGAGTTCGAATACACTTTGTGCATCAGTCCCGCTTCAACCAGCCAGTCAGAGAGATCGTCTCGATCCTGGAATATGCATAGCGAGTCGATCCAGAGGTATCGCATGCCTAGTTGTCGAGTGACTTGCACGGCTTCACGGAATGTCTTTGGAAGCTTGGAGAGCTCGATGCCTCTTTTGAAATCGTCGCACGTGGCTTTCTTCAGTTGCAGAAACTGGGCTGAACCCCAGCAATGACTCAGGGTCGCGTAACGATCATTGTGCGAAGGCGGGTGTTCTGCCGTGATTACCAGACGGGCAACATCTGTGCCCTCGCAACCAGCCTCGAGGTCAAGCAATCGAGTTGGATACCACGGATTCGCTTTCAGCTCAACGTTGCAAGCCGTGTGAGTAGACAAGCAGGTTTGCATCCATAAGTTTGCTTTAGCCCACGCTTCCTCGGAGTCCGTGTTGTTACTGGAGAATGGTATCATCTTTCCGGCATCCTTGTCTGGAGGCCGATCACATTAGAAAAAGCTAACAGCTCATCAACCCGGCAGTGCCACTTACAATCACCTCTCTGTACCACGTATGTACCGGAGATATTCTTTTGATCAAAATGAATTTCATCCGTGAATCCCGACTCGAATGAAATAGACACCATCAAGTCAGACCCAATGGCTTTTAGACTCGGTTCTTCGAGAAGGACAACTGCGCCCATAGTCACTAGACCATCAAACTCGTCCAACCGTTGCCCAGGCGTCCTGGACTTTGCACCGTCTACCCTAGGGCGTGAGGCCCAAACGGCGTCGAACTCTCTCAGTCTAGTCTGGCCCTCCTCGCTGATCTGGAGCCAGAACGGACGACATATCTCGCAAGCGTCGAGGGCTGAAGCTTCCAGGCTCGCCACCGATTCGTGATGAGCAAGTAAAATGGTGGGCTCGGAACCCTCGTCGGTATCGCGAACCCAGCCCTTCCGGTGTTGGAACGCCCCAACGCAAATTTCGCATATCATTCTGATAAACTATGCCGATGGCAAGAAAGCTCTACGACAGACCCGGAATGAAGACAGTTGAACACTTGCCGTTGTCCTTGAGGATGATGCTGTCAGTATGTTGTGAATGACGAGCCATCTCGTCTACAGTCAGGCCCATACTTGTTCGCGCGCGGGGTCAACCCATACGGCTGAACTTCAGCTCGGTTTACTGCACTGCAGGATTGAAGCTGGTCATTGTGATAGGCGATGGTTCATGCATAAAGCTGAGGTTGATAGGCAGCATAGAGATAAAGCCTGCCGGAGGCTGGGCGCCAAGGCAGCCACAGCGCCAATGACCCTAGCCCATTGGATTGACTTCTTCGCACGTGGCAGTGGCCAATTATGTTGCTTTGCAGAGAGAAACGGCAACGCGGGTGCGATTGGCTTTATATCGTTCTCACAGTCAACTTGACTAGAGTCAGAGCAACATCTTCCCACTCGAATTGACTTCAGAAGAGGTGGCCCCCGGCCCTCTCGACTGTTTTCCGACTTTTCATATCTCTGACACAGAGGAGCTTGAAGCTGCAGCGCGAGCGCGGTTGCCGGCGATTGTTTGTCGACGAGAAATGGGTTCCGATGGTATCTCGGCTCGGTGTGTTGCTGCTCTTCAACAGTGTTAGGTCTCTAACCGCCACGCCAAATCTTGAACTGCAAATGCTTGACTTACATCTAAATACTAATGCAGTGTTGGACCCTTTTAAGCCATGATTGGCGCGGAAGGAGTTTAGCAACCAGTGTTCGCCGCGACAATGACTTGGGAACCGGACTTGTTTTTCTTGACTCCTCTAAGCAAAGAAGTATGCTTTCGAAGTCGGAATCAACAAGCTCTTTCTTCTGCTGCTGAAGCCCCAAGCAGTACCTGGTAGAGACTCAAAGTCACTTGCCTGATATATATTGATATTCAGGAGTTCTGATGGGCATCACTAGATGCCCGAAGTTGCTCGCATAAGCTGTCTTTCGGTAGTATCAAAGAAACATCTTCATGGAAAAAACAAAAGTTTCCTTTTGCCTTTCCAAGTCGCCTCAACTTTGGGTTCCGAAGAGAAGGAGAAAGAGAAAATGCAGGGAAGCAAGGGAAAAGAGGTTTGTCCACAAACCCCTCAAACCCCTTCACACACAGTTGGCTTTTTCTTCAAGAGACTCTGACGCAGAAACTGAAAGTGACTGAGCATGGAAAAAAAAATGCTGCCAATGTCTTGATCGGCTTCGGACTTGGATATCGAGACTAACGATCCATTGAGTTCCTCGATAGCTCGGATGATGTCGGAGGAAAAGCTGGTCAATGATCGGGCACCTCGTTTAGTTGAACCTTTTTCTGGCGAGGTTGCAACACGAGTTCCGAAGCTCCGGAGGCCGCTCAAATCAGAACGGAGCAGTTGTCAACCTCCACGTGTGAATGTTGCAGAGATATTGCAAAATGAGACTCCGGTGTTACGGCTCGAACGGTCCAGCTGCAAGCCTCAACTCCCTTACAAGTTGCAACCACGCGCCTTTGCCGATCGGCTCGGGGCGGACCCACTGATGCCCGCCGGGCAGCGGGTCCAGGCCATGCAGCCACTTAGAAGCAGCCCGCCGGCGCGCGCAGGCGGCCAAACACTAAACACAGTCATAGAGTTGACGCTTCTCTCGGCCGCCCACAGACGCACACACACACTCGCAGAACACCATCTTCAGCCCATGGAACACACTATCGTCATTCCGGTCCCCGGAGTCGAAGATCAAGACCACAGACATGCCGCGCACTAGGTGATAACTAGCGGAGACACCGTACCACATCCCGCGCTGTCGGTTTAGACGAGCATGTGCGCCTAGCCTTGGCATGGAGCTGATCTACTGCTGTCAGCCTGTCACTTTTGATGGTGTAGATGTCAGACAGCCAGATAGATCTAGTCTTTAGATGCCGGCGGGCGGATAACATCCATCACAAGCCTAGACAGCTCTGGCTCATTGCCTATCGCGATATTGTTCAACCATTCTCAGACAACACCAACGAGGCTTCGGTCATACTACACGCTACTATGGGTTAGGTGAACGGCTCCCCCTTCCACGGGGCCACTGCCGAAGAATGGAGCTTTAGGACCTCCGCCCCGGTCGCGGATGGCGGAGGATGCGTAGATGGGCCCATATTGATCAAATCGCTTCGTGTAATCCCACGCAGTCAGTTACACCGACATCAACAGACACACATAAGGGCGTTATTTGATCAGTAACGCTTGAAGTTGCCGTCGGCCGTGGCGTTTTCTCAACCTCGTGTGCCAGAAACCGTTATCAGCAAGCAACGCCTCCAACATTACGCCGCGACGCGGCAGCGTAGATACACGAGTCAGATCCCCGACATCAGCGAGATGAGACGAACAGGTTTTTTTGGGTATGTCTCTTGCGTCCCTTCATTTCGAGATTCGGTGAGAACCCTCCCCAAAAAGGAGAGTACCCGAGAGGCACAGCTCTAAAAAGGAGACGCAGAGAGTAAACCATACAAGGAACAACCCTCAGCTGTCAGGTATGATTCAGGTCCACGGCGATAGGGAATGGGACTCATGGGAAAATGGAGAAGGAAATCGTCGTTGCATTCGGGGGTGGGCTTGCCATCATGCACGAGCCCGCTGCCGCCGCCGCCCCCCTTCAAGCGTTGAAGCGTGAAAGGCCGGCCCCCTTTCGGAGACCCACGGAGAAGTCTTGAATAATATCCTCATGTCTTTGCATCTGCAGTCTTGGCAAGCGACAGGCTGACAGACGATCCGAAGAACGGGGTTCAATATCATCTTGAGTATTAGCCTCCAATTACAGGCTTACAAGCGTACGTAGACCTCGTGTTTTCTGCACTTGCTAATGATCGTACCCGGAAATGCGGCAATTTGTGACGGGCTTCTAGTTCCCAGGCTGTCTTCAGCTGGCATGTGTGATTGTCTCAGTCTCTCACTCCCTCTCTCTCTCTTTTCCTCACACAAATTAAGCCTTATTAATCTGCTTCTTCTTTGTGGTGTTTCTGCAGGCCGAAAATTTTGCAAGCCACCCCCGAGAACCGGACGCACGGCAGTACGCCGAACATTGCCCAACTGAACCCGAACTAGGCATGGATTATTCGCAGGCTTGCAGGAATCTAATGGCCTTCTGGGAAATGGTTCACGCGGTGCTAGCTTCCGAGTCCGGGGTTGCCCCCGGGTCGGACGAGAGCAGCCCAAGACGGAGGAGAACACTGACACAGGCCAGAACTTTTTACTTCGTTGTTATCTAGAGCGTTTCCTCCCATCTGATTGGATGAAACGTTATCTCCCCCGCCGGCATTTACATATTGAATTTGACTTCAGTCTTTTGCAAGACGCTTAGCTTTGGGAGAGGGGGGGGCGTGGTCGACGACTCGACACTAAGACTGGAGACCCCGAACAGTCGGGACAATTCCCACGCCACCACGCCCATCCTATCACAGCGCTCAATTGGGTTCTTTGAGAGAGATAAGGCAACATTTTAGCTGTACGAATACCGTTTCTAAAACCAGATTGTCGCGGGGTCGCAGTGAGTTCTATGGGGATTTCCACGGTTCGAAGTCGGGATGGATCGAACCATGTGGGCGGGAACCCAAATGCAGTAGACACTAGGAGGCCAGGGGAGTTAAGCATCGACTTATAACAACTCGACTCCCCTCCTCGTTCGGATGAGTTTCGAGAGTGTGCTCGAACCACAAGCCCATCAACAACTTCGTCGGCCTTACACCTCGCCGCTCTCACCAAAGCAGGCTTTCACAGGGTAACCCACCCCAAACGGTGTCTCAGTGACCGTTGAATCTAGAGTTCAACACCAATCCCGCGATCAAACACCCTTCACCGAGGCCTCACCGAAATCTCCACAGTTCATCCCAGAACCGCCACGATGCCTGACTGGAAAGCCATGTTCGCCCCGGCGCCGTCCCTGGACGTGCCCGGCCTCGAGACCGTCGACCTCGCCGACAAGGAGATGGAACGCCGCATTGTCCGCAAGCAGGATCTCAGAATCCTTCCCTGGATCTGCATTACCTACCTCCTGAGTACGTTTCTCCAGCATCAAGAGAAAAGACGAGAAATTGCCATCCAGCATCCACTAACACGAGAACCACAGACTACCTCGACAGAGTCAACCTCGGCAACGCCCGCACCCTCAACAACGACGAGCCCGAAGACAACATCGTAACCATGCTCAACCTCACTGGCCAGCGCTACAACGTCGCCGTCGCCCTCTTCTTCGTCCCCTACGTCCTCATGGAGTTCCCCTCCAACATCATGCTCAAGTACTTCTCCCCCTCAAAGTGGATCTCCCGCATCATGGTCTCCTGGGGCATCGTCACCATCTGCACCGCCGCCTGCACCACCTACGGCGGCCTCCTCGCCGTCCGCATCATGCTCGGCCTCGCCGAGGCAGGCTTCTTCCCGGGTATCATGATGTACCTCTGCTTCTGGTACAAGCCCGAGGAGCGCGCCACCCGCATGGCCATCTTCGCCTCCTCCGTCGCCGTCGCCGGCGCCTTTGGCGGTCTCCTCGCCACCGGCATCTCCTTCCTCAACCGCAAGGGCGGCCTCACGGGCTGGCAGTGGCTCTTCATCCTCGAGGGCATCCCCGCCGTCATCGTCGGCGTCATGGTCTGGTTCATGCTCCCCGACTACCCCCAGACCGCCGCCTGGCTCACCCCAGAGGAGCGCGCCTTCGCCGTCAAGCGCCTCGGCCCCTTTGCCCCGTCCATGTCCGACAAGCACTGGGACAGCAAGGTCGCCAAGAAGACCATCATCGACCCGTACTTCTGGCTCTTCGCCATCATGTACTTCCTCATGACGAACTCCCTCAACGCCTTCGGCTACTTCGCGCCCACCATCGTCTCCTCGCTCGGCTTCAAGGGTTACAACGCCCAGCTGCTCACCGTTCCGCCCAACGTCTTTGCCATGTTCATCATTATCGGCAACTGTCTGCACAGTGACAGGACCAAGGAGCGCTCCCGCCACGTCATTGGTGCCTTGATCTTCGTCGCGACGGGATACCTCCTCCTGGCCATCGTCAAGCACTGGGGTGTGCGCTACTTTGCCGTGTGCATCATCGCCTGCACCAACGCCGCCGTCCTCCCCTTCGTTGCTGTAAGTTCTCAACCTCCTATTGAAGTATCAAAAAGAAGAAGAAGTAAACTAATAAACAAAACAGCACCGTACCGCAACCGTCCAGGGCTCCACCGCCACCGCGCTCGCAACCGGCGGCATGATCGCCATCGCCAACACGGGCGGCATCTCCGCCCCCTTCCTCTTCCCGAGCACCGACTCTCCCATGTACAGCATGGGCAACTGGACCATCTTCGCCTTCCTCGCCACGACCGCCATCCTCACCGGCTACGTCTGGTACGTCTTTGGCAGCCACTCGGGCTACAGGACCGGCACCAAGGATGCCGCGGGCAACCTCGAGGTTCTGGACGCCGGCGCCGGCGACCCCGATGAGCTCATGAACAAGAAGATGGGCATCGTCACCGACCAGGACAAGAAGGATGAGGAGGCTTAGAGGAGCCTTTTCTTGGCTTGGTAGAGAAGGAACGGAGTAATTTGGAAAAAGGGATAGACTTTTGCGCGCGTTGGTTGTATGGATATAGAAACTGTTGATACCCCCGCTAGACAGCGGTCGCCTCACAAGGCACAATGAAAGCTTATGTTGGATGATTTACATCGACTCGCGGTCTACGGATGTGTTTCTGTGATTCACTCACCTCGCTGCATCACGGGAAACATCATTAAACGGGCGCGGAAAACACTTGCCGACGGGGCAAGGATGATGAACTACTCAATGAGGGGATCACGACTCTTGAACAAACAAAGTTTGGTACCACGGAACGGAAGAAGAAACGAACCGCCAAGGCAAACGTGCTCCTGGGATTCCCTCAGTCTTGTGTAACTTTCGTGACGTGAACCGCGGGTGCCACGGGACACGCCTAAAGGTTGTGTTGCCTGCCTCATGTACCTTAAGCCAAGCCTGTCAGAGTTCTGGGCGCACACGAGACTTTCGGCAACGACATGCGCCGCGGCTCTTCTGTCTTGCATCCATCTTCTACGGCCGTCTCAGAAGCTTCGGCGCAGGGACAAGGCAAAAAGTATATCGCGAAGCTGGCCAGTCGTAACACGAGTTATACCGCCTACTATAGGGATTGGCTCGCAGGCTGCAGCCGTGGAGAGGGATGTTTTGTAATCGGGAGTTGTCAGTGCGCCCACCACCACAATTAGCCCGGGAATGTTGCAGACATCACGAAATTGTGAGAGGCAAAAAGTACACCACACGAAGCGCCTATCGCCAGTGTTCAAAACCGCAAAATGCAAAAGAATTGGGCCCTAACCAGGATTCGAACCTGGGACCTCTCCCAGACGTGTCGTGAAGACCCTAAGGGAGAATCATACCGCTAGACCATCAGGGCTGATCGGGTTTTCAACTGTTGCCAGGTGGCGCTCGTCGATGGCAGTTGAGGCCGAAAGTTGCTATATGTTCGACTCCCGACAGACAGCGGGAGCTAATGCAACTCAGTGAGAGATTAAGTCTGGCACCTTCAAACTCATTCCAACCTTTAATACCAAACAACAGCAAACTCGAGAAGCTTCTGCATCCTCCCCGACAAGGTTTGAGGCGCATGCGAACAGGAAACTTTGCTGAGGCTTTATTTGTTCTCTGGGGAAAATGAAATCCGTATGCGGTCTGCATTGCCGCTGTTATGCTTTTTCAATATGTATGAAGGTGTACCCTTGCTATGTTACCCTGCCTTGCCCACCACCTTTCCGCAACTCAAAACTCATTTTCGATTCCTTCCAACTGGTGTTGTGCCGAAAAAGCCTATTCCTCATTCTCAAACGTCACCGAATGTGTCAGCGCCCAGTCCCGGATGTCGTTGAAGTTGCGGCAGGTGTGCAGCGTGCTGAAGTCGGGCCAGTGGCCCTCGAGCGGGAGATCCGGGTACATCTTGAACGTGAAGACGCCAATGTCGGCTTCGCACATCAGGTTCAGCCTCAGGGCTTCGATGCAGTGGTCTTAGTGAGCTCGTTAGCAATGCGGGTTTCTCTACATTTTTTGCCACTCATGCTCATGGCTCATGAATCGTGGTGACTTACTCAGGTGTCCTCTCAAGTCCTTGTGCTCAACGGCCACGTCGCCGCCGACTTCTTTCCTTGAGTAGTACTCAGGATACGTAGCTTGACGGAGCAGGTTCAGGCAGTGAAGCTGGTGGAACACCTCGAGGCCGACGCGGTAGCCCTCCTCGCCCGTGACGGCATTGGTGGTCTTGATTGACTTGGGATCGAGACCGAGCTTGTCGAGCTCGGCGCGCGAGATCATCTGGTCGCCGACTACGCCTCTTTAGCTTCTGTCATTACATCACCAGCCATTAAGTCGTCTTCTTACTGTTGTTTGTGATGTGATCCCATGCTCTATCGATCTCGTATCCAGCACCAACAAAGGGTGACCAGTCCATGATGGGCGTCAGGTTGTACCTTTCGGTGTGGTACTTGATGATTCCTGCAGCAGGCGCTATGAACAGTCAGCCATAATGAAGAGCGATGGTCATTGGGCGATGATTCTTACACCACGATGAGTACTTCTCCGTCACCCAAGTATCGTCCTTATTCGTATTGCCATAGCGAAGGCAGAATGATGCCGCAAACAACGTGACAGATGTCGTGAGAAGCACGGCATGAAGAGCCCAAGGCCAATACCGCAGAAGCCGGCGCGCCTTCTCTTTGCACGGGTGCTCATCGCCGAGCCTCATCCGCCTCCATGTCGCTTCGTTTCCTCCTGTGGCGGCCTCTACGTTCTCGGTGCTCTCCGTATTGAGGCTTCCGGCGAGACTCTCGACTTCCTCCTCCTCGTGGGGTACGGACCGGTAGACCTTTTCTGAAGACATGATTATTAAAGAGAGAGGGACCCTCTTCGGCGGGCAAGGTAGTAGCACCGGAAGGTTAAGTTGGAGCACGCCAGGTGCCTTATTAAGAAAGAATAGAAGGCGAAAGAAGGGATGCTGTCACAGATTTGACAGCAAAGAAATGGCACAACGACGACGTCAAGTCGGGTATAGAAACGGATGATGGGAATTGAAAGTGTGACCAAACAAGAAAGAGACAAGAAGGGAGAATGATAGAGTGGTATGCACAGAATGAAGAGAAGGGGAGGGGAAACAGTTCGGAGGCAAGGCCAGCAGCTCTCAGAGAAGGTAAGAAGAGACGAGTGCCAAGGCGATCGCTTCGGGCGCGGAAAATCAGATTACCAAACTAATGGGTGATCACAGACCGTCCAAGTCGACTAGTCGATGGGGGTGGGAAGAGGAGACTCGAGAGGGAGAGACAGAAAGAGAGAGAGATTGAGCACGGGCAGAGGCGGCGTCAGCGAGAGACTGCGCGCCGCAACTATGTCCCAACTCGAACAATGACAGGACTCGACTTGGGAAGGGGACCCAGTTCGCTCAAGACCGAGGGAGGAAAAGTCGCCGTCTGGCAGGTGTGTGCAATGCAACCTCGCCCCGTTGGGATACTTGGGATCCATGGACCATAGTGGCATAGGCTCTGGATAGTCGGATGGAAATCGCCAGCTAGCGAGATGTCATCCAGCCACCAGAAACGTTTGGGCTGTTTGATCTTCGTTGCGAAGTTGCGGCACAGGCCAAGAAGCCGATCATCCCAAGCAAGAATAGACGAGACAGGACAGAGGTCGAGTCCGTCACAGCCGGGGGTGGGATAGGGAACGCAAGTCGACTCGGTCGAGTTGCAAGCAAGCCTTGGTTCAAGTGGTCATGGGTAGATAGTAGATACTGCGTGCTGCGTGCACCCTGCAGTGATGGATGATAATAGATGGTCGGAAATAATTAGCCGCTCTCGTCCAATAACCAAGGCGATGATTGGGCTGGCCCTTGTTGATGAACAATCCCATGAACGGGATTTCGTGCAGTCTTGGTAACATCTGCAGGGCTACTCATGTCAGGTTTAGTCAGGTCCAAGTCCTGGCTCTTGTATCCCTGTCTCCGTCCCTGCAGCAGGCTCGTTGCCTCGAGAATGTGATAGAGAGCTGAGAACCTTCTTCCCATAGTCGAAGAGTTGCAGAGACACAAAAAGAGAGAGAGAGAGAGAGACAGAGAAGCAAAGAAAAAGGGGCCCCTGGTAATGGCACAGCTGAGGCGTTGGTGCGGTGTCTCAGAACAGGGGTGTGTCGAAACGCGGAGTTTGGTGCGACAGGGTGTGGCTTGCGGGGGAGAACCCACGACCAGTCACCACGTTCCAGCGCCTCCAGCCCATCCCACAGGGGATGCACCGACCACTCACGAACGCCGTAAGGCACCAGGGAAGAGCCCGGGCCGCCTATGAGGCTCAAAACCCGGCAACTTGATGCCGCATTGCTCATGGAATATCCACCACCACAGGACACCAACAGTGGTCGGTTTTGAGTCGGTACACCTTTTTAATCTCGACCCAGGTTCGGTTGCTGTCAAGTCTTGGCATTCTGGGACTGTGGCTGTATCAGAGATCCCTTGTGCGGCTCATCCTCTCTAGCGTACGAGTAACAGTACGACAGGAGATGGCTGATGGATCATCACCGGGCCACCCTACCAGCGTATTTCCTCGACACACTGCGGCGTCGCGAAGACCTTCCGTAACGTCCTGTCGATCAGGCTTAGCATCAGATCCTGTTGGGGTCTGTCGAACGAGACGCCAGGCACAACGAGAGAACACCCTCCGTTTCCCCTGTGTGCCCCCCGTCTGCTGACCGCCCAGGGTAGTCTTGGAACTTCTTGGAACTGAAACTGCAAGCGAGTCCAGTACCGCAACCATGTTCATGTCTAAAGGGAATAAGGTAGTATGCTTGTTGTCTTCTCATTGCTTGGTACGAGGAGTACTCCGTATACGAGCTTTCGAAGTGGAGGACGACAACCATCGACGATACCGCAGGCGCGGGATTCGGCTCACATCCTAGTCCAGGAACCTCCCCTTCCAGCCTCCCCGCGTCCAGCATTTTGGTGCTGTTCGACATCATCAGCGCAGCCCCGACGAGTTTTGAACGAGTCCCATCTTTTGCGGCTAGCTCAGTCCGAGCAACCATCGCAAGCCGTCATAGCCCATGGCCCTGTCTCTCCACCCCCTTTCAGACCCTTTCCATCTGGTATCCCGACTCTGAGACGTTTCTGGTCCTACGCGGCAGGCCGATCAGAGTTTGACGCCTTCTAGTCGAGGCCCTTTTCGTCCAAACTTGGGGCTTCAACCCATGCCTTCGTCACTTAGTCGAATGGAGACTCGCGAATGGACCAAGTGCCGTGCCAAAAGGGGGGGTGCCTTGTCAACTCGTCTGTGGAGGGACGAAGACGCAGAGGTCGTTGAGCAAGATATAATATCTTCTCAAACCCGCTCATCAGCCCACCATTGCCTGACCATCCGTACATCTCATTCCACTGTTGGCCCCTGATCGCTTGACGCGACCCTTCATTCCTTTCTCTTGTAATCCAGTTGCTGTCATTTGCTGCCGGTCAGCCAATCATTCTTTTCAAGATGCACTACCCATCCTTTGGCCACTTCCTCTTGGCGAGCATCCTTGCCGTCCAAGGTGTTCAGTCGTTGAACCTCATCCCCACGGGTCAGGTCGCCAGACGCTATGTAGTAAGTTTGCCTTCCACGATTAGGCTAAAGTGTGGGAACGCGAGGACTAATGTGAGTTTAAATAGGCTCCCGCCTTGGCACTCGCCATGCCTGCCCTGGCTGCGCCCCAGGCTGCCAGCATCGAGGCTCGTGAGGTAAGATAAAATCTTCTCAAATGTGCTCAGGTCAAAGAGTTATATATATTGACACCTTCGATCAGCCTCACCACCGCGGCAAGAAGACCAAGAAGGCCAAGGCCGCCAAGCGCGAGGAGTCTGCTGTTGACGAGGCCCTTGAGGCCCGTGATATCGAGGCTCGTGAGCCCCATCACCGTGGCAAGAAGACCAAGAAGGCCAAGGCCGCCAAGCGTGAGGAGTCTGCTGTCGATGAAGCCTTTGAGGCTCATGACATCGAGGCCCGCGAGCCCCACCACCGTGGTAAGAAGACCAAGAAGGCTAAGGCCGCCAAGCGCGAGGAGTCTGCCGTCGACGAGGCTCTCGAGGCTCGTGATATTGAGGCTCGTGAGCCCCACCACCGCGGCAAGAAGACCAAGAAGGCCAAGGCCGCCAAGCGTGAGGAGTCTGCTGTCGATGAGGCCCTTGAGGCCCGCGATGTCGAATCCCGCGAGCCCCACCACCGCGGCAAGAAGACCAAGAAGGCCAAGGCTGCTAAGCGTGACGAATTTGTCTCTGAGGAGGCCGTTGAGTCTGCCGAGCACGAAATCGAGGCCCGTGAGCCCCACCACCGCGGCAAGAAGACTAAGAAGGCGAAGGCCGCCAAGCGCGACGAGTCCGCCTCCGACGAAGCCATCGAGTCTGCCGAGCACGAGATTGAGGCTCGCGAGCCCCACCACCGCGGCAAGAAGACCAAGAAGGCGAAGGCTGCCAAGCGCGACGAGTTCGCTTCTGAGGACGCTGCCGAGCACGCCGTTGAGGCTCGTGAGCCCCATCACCGCGGCAAGAAGACCAAGAAGGCCAAGGCCGCTAAGCGCGACGAGTACGCCGCCGTTGAGGCTCGCGCTTTCACCGCTTAAGGGGGGTTGTCCAACTTTGTGGCAGACATGGGGGCCAACAACTTAATGCTCTGACCCGGGCAACCCTTGAGTTGAGACGACCGCCAGTTCTTCCTTGTATCTAGAGTCCGAAATTCACAGCAAATTACATCAAGTTCGGATTCGGTTGACTGGTTCGGGTTCGCAAACAAACTTGGCCAATGCTGTGTTGTGTAGACTAGAAAATCAGCTTCTCATTTTTCCATATATTTTTAACAGTAATAATGACAGTACCAAAGTGCATTTTCTCTTGGCCCAAACATGTCCTTGGTCGTGCGTCGTTGACCGTGAAACTCTACTGCCGTCGCAAGGCCGGCAGACTTCGGTCTGATTCTTTTTTCTCCTTTGCTGCTTGCATGAACCGCAACGTGTTGCGACGAAATTAGTGTTTCGCCTCAAAGTCATTCCTGACGTTGGGATGATGTCGAAACATCTCGGAGCCGGACCGGCCGCCCATTGCGGAGGCGGGGTGACTGGGACACCCCTCGCTATCGCGCTCGTAACGTCCGTATGGTGGATGCGAAAGCAGCGGAGACCCCGATCAAGATCCCAAAGACCAGTTGACGGACATCCATGGTGGGAATACGCGAATAATTGACCCGGGACTGGCGTTATCCGAAAATGCCATGACGTGTGTCGTTTGTTGGAGCCACACGACCCAGCGACTTGGAGGCTCACGGATTTCCACCTTGCCAAGAGTTATTGTTCGAACGTGATCTACCAGGGGCGCCCAGTGATTCGTTTCGGAAAGGATCATTGCCAGGAACTGCGAGCCTAGGGTCGCAGCAACTCGTCGAGATCGCTTTCGGTCCTTTCCCCAAGAACCCCCGTGGTCTTCTGCCCATCTCCCGCTGATTTGTACCATCGATTGAACCGTGGATCATGGACGGCCATCTCCCGAACTAGTTCCACTTGGCAGTTCTCAACTTCATCGCAATTCCAGTATGTAGCCACATGGAAATAGCAGACGAGACGGGAGGCCTGAGTATAGCCGAACATTCGCATCTTCCATTCCAATTGGTATGGCTCGCGACCGTAGGCTGATTCTTTTTTTGACTTTGCTCGAAATTCAAGGGTCAAAGCGAACTTCCGTCATCTTGTCTGTTACATTAAAGACCGCAAAGTCCGGCTGGACCAATGCCAGCTTGTCGAGACCGAAGCTAGAATGTTGACTAACATCTTTTCCGTCGGTTCTCTCTCATTATATGTGGATACCGTATTTCTTGAGCTTGACGCGATCGAATGCTTGATTGGCGTTCGCCGTGTTGATGATGTGCATGATGGGTGGTCGTGGAGCTCTGTTGTAAGCCTGCAAGTGTCCCTGACACCTCAGGTCGCGATTGAAAGAGCGAATGCCTGGTGAGGCTTATGTAATGCACCCACGGTCCGCCTTGGAGTGATAGCTTTATCTTATCGATAAGATACGGCTGAGGCAGCTGGATGGTGGGGTAAGTGCTGCCATTGTCACCAGCACCTCCAACCTTCCTGTGAGCCTTGGCCGTCACTCAACGTCATCTCCTGCAAACATAACTGCTCACGCGGAAACGAGCAGTCAAGATGGAGACAGCTCTCAAATCTTGGGGTATGTCGTGAGCTCTTTTACAATGTCGCCATTGCCGCGGTCGACACAGCTGACCACTTGCCATAGAGCTCGACAACAACGTAAAGTTGGTCGACACCAAACGCGACGCTCTCTACAACCTCGACCTCGATGCCCAGAAGGAACAGATGAACGCCCGCCCGTGGGCCGCGAACCCGAACCACTTCAAAAATGTCCGCATAAGCGCCGTGGCTCTCATCAAGATGGTGATGCACGCCCGTTCCGGCGGCAACCTCGAGGTGATGGGTCTCATGCAGGGCTATGTCAATGGCGACACTTTCATCGTCACAGATGCCTTCCGATTACCCGTGGAGGGAACCGAGACGCGCGTCAACGCCCAGGGCGACGCCGAAGAATACATGGTCGAATACCTCAGCCTCTGCCGTGAGCAGGGCAGAATGGAGAACGTTGTCGGATGGTATCACTCACATCCGGGCTACGGCTGCTGGCTGTCCGGCATCGACGTCGGCACCCAGGCGCTACAGCAGCAATTCCAGGAGCCCTTCCTCGCCGTCGTCATCGACCCTGACCGTACCATCAACGCAGGCAAGGTGGAGATTGGAGCTTTCCGAACGTACCCCGAGAACTACATCAAGGAGAAGGAAGGCGGGGCCAGCGGCAGTGGCGTTACCAGCGACGGATGGCAGGAAGTCCCTCTGGCGAAGGCGGCAGAGTTCGGCGCTCACGCGAATAAGTACTACAGCCTCGAGGTGTCCCATTTCAAGAGCACGCTTGAGTGCCAGATGCTGGAGCTGCTGTGGCACAAGTACTGGGTGCAGACGCTGAGCCAAAGCCCTCTCATCACGAATCGTGACTACGGAAACAAACAGATGCTTGATCTCGCATCCAAGATCAAGGAGACTACGACACAAGTCGCTCGTCAGGGACGGAGCGCTCCGGGCACGGGTGGTGTCGGAGCAGCTAGCAAAAAGGTCGACGGACTGCTCGAGAAGCTCGTGAAGGACAGCAACACGGTAGCGATGCAGGAGCGGACTGGTCTCGTTGCGATGGAGGTCAAGAAGAAGATTTTCAATGACGTGAGCGCGAACGCGTCGTGAGTCTGGTAGAAGTTTCGCTTTGTTGCTTGGCCTCGATACGGGTTTTCGCGAGGTCCTGGGCATGATAGATGGCGTTCAGAGGATAGGGTTGGCTTTGGCCCCGAAATGACGACATGATTTTGAGCCGTAATCGCTGCTGTGGAATGATTCTTTACCTGATTGAAGTGCCTCTGCTGATATTCCACTAATTCCTCCAAGCCTTCTAGCCTCATTATGACTGTTTGAGCTGCCCACATGATGCTTGAGCTTGACCACGATCTTGAATCGTATGCTGTTTCCCGGGTGAAAGGTACACACCTAGTCTCCGGCGAATACCTTGCACCTAAGATGTTCAGCCGCGACATACGATGACCTTCGGATGACACGTTACAAGGGGCCGAGGCGTTCTATTTCAGGCTGGCATCAGGTACTCAGCAGGCGAAAGCAACTTCTGTGTTGATGAAGTCCTTCGGTTCTCTGCCATAGGGAGGAAATTAAGTTCGCAGCCACGACTGACCTTGTTAGATGTGCATGCCTTCCTACTATTTCTTTCGGTCCAGTCACAGGCTTTCCGACTAGAGATTTGCTGTATTACACACCTCACTCTAAACTTGCAATTATCGAATGTGTCAGGCCTGTGAGAGCTGATGAGTAACTTTGCCAGCCAAGTGATATTGATATTCCCCATTCGTGCTCATTCACGAACACATAATCTCTCTTGTAATGGTTGCAAACGGCTCCTTCCTGGAGCGAACCAACGCCGTCACCCACCGTCAGTGACGGAAACATAGCTAACATCACCCGACGGCGGGTCCCCAGTGAAGCTTCTCGGCTTTCTCTTACTGCCGCACTATATCACACTCTACATCTATGCCTTGTAGAGTGAGGGATACGTACAGATGCACAATAATATGTCTTTTCGCTAGGATGAGATCCAGGAAGACCGGCTAGAGTCGTACGTCGCCCGTCCTCAGGAAGAATTCCATGTTCAGAGCCCACACCATCCAGCATTTCAGTACTGTCGTCCACGAAAGAGTGGCTCATTTCTTGTCAAACAGCTTCTTCCTTCAGCCCTAATCGAGCATTAGGTTCATCTCTGAACAGATCCGTCCAGGAAACGATCATCTGGCGCAATCTGCTCCCGCGCGATGTACGACCATAAATGTGGCATTTCCCAAGCACGATGGTTTATGGAGTGTGATTTCCGAATCTCACCACGTCATGTTGAGCGTAAGCCAATATCACTACTGTAGAGAATGGTTCAATAACTGTGGCTATTAGGTGGCGATTTCCTGGTAAAGACGCACCTATGGGGGTGCTTATCCCGCCACACGCGAAGACAACCCTCGGGCATCACTGGCTATCTAGACTCAATGGGAGGTTATTCAATGAGAGTGGATGAGCGACGGCTTTCAAAGACGGGCTATGTGTACCAAGGAAGCGATTGTTCTTCCGGGGTCGCAAAAGAGACAGAGGTAACGCGAAGGACCGCCCAGGTATTGCGACGTAAGCGGGTGTGCTGGGCTCACGTTCCCAGGCTCTATGATGTCTCCTTTGCGTGCGGTTCTGGATAGGAATGCTGTCGCCGGCCGAATCGAGATCGCAAATCTGAAGCTATGGCTCCTGATCTACATAGTAGCAGTCTAGATGACAGCATTGGATTCTAAATTGGAACCACCTGGCCCATCTCAGCCACCATGGTCAAGTGCAGAATACTTGGCAGTTTTAAGCCTCTCCGATCCTCAATATGGTAGAAACATGACGGCGCAAACGTGGGCATGTTCATATCCCGTCGAGTTCCGTTGCTATATTTCCATGTACCCATAGATCCCTATTTGACTTCATGAGATGAAGAGTTAGAGCATGGCGGTTAAGCTTCTGTCATGTTCGTATCAGCAAATACAATCATATAACTCGCTGTGTTACATTTGAGACAACATAAGAGTCTTTCGAGGTATCTTTCATCATATTACCAAGATGATTATATATTTACCTGCATACATAGACGAACCGGTATGCTGAGCTTCGAAGGTCAAACCATCACCTTTATCTAAGGCGAGACCTACGTCCGCTCCTCATCCACCTCGTCATCAGTCCTCTCAGAAACGGTGCACACCATGCGAGAGATCGTCCAACGACGTCTTCCGGACGAGGCTCAGACGTAGCGTCTCGTTTACTCGACCACGAGGTAAAAGACCTCCCGCCTCTCGTAGGTAAGTTGGAAAGAGCAAGACGCAAACTGCGTCAACTCTCACGAGACCTACCAAAGCCGGAGGGGAAAGCTTCCGAAAGTACCACCCACCTAGTCCAGTGATCCCACCAGCTTATACCTTCCACCTTCCGAACCTCCTCATATCAGTCGACGCAAGTCAACGATGGTTCAGGTCGCGAGAACCGACTCTCAATATCTGAACCCAAACAGCGTCTCGCCCTCCAAGCCTACGGCAGGGCGTCATGATCCCTCCCTCCTCTTACACTGACTCCCTCCCCAAGGGAAACGACAGCGAAATACCGGTATCAACTTCGCCCATCTCTCATCTCGTAGCCCGCACTCTTATCAAACCCTCTGATATCGGACACAAGTTGATGCCTGTCCAAGTAGCAGCAAGCTACATGGCTCAAGTAACCCCCCTAAAACCGAACCGTTCTCAGAAAACATCCTCACGATCAATGTCCTGATTTCAGCCTTGTCCAATCCCAGTGTTCGCTGTCCAAGGTCGATCGAGTTCTTCGAGACAAAAGTCGTCCGCCTCGCTCCAACCGTATCCCCTCAATATATCCCTTCTCTTGTTGACACCTCCAACCTCTCCTCTTCCCGGTCGGCCAACAACATCCATCACACTTTGCACCAGTACAAGCCGGTCTCCCATGCCATCCACCCAACCTCAATCCCGGCCCGTACATCCAATGGCCTATCATCGTCGTCGTCGTCGTCGTCCTCGTCCTCGTCGTCCTCGTCTTCGTCCTCGTCTTCGTGGCAACTGTATGATCCTCATTCGTCCCGCGGCGATGGAAAAGCCTGGTGCCTCGCCGTGATTCATATAGCAGCCAACGCAATCGATATCAATCACCTCCCATACCCCCCAAGCACAACCTCAGCCCCAGACCCTCGATCAAATATTCCGCGAGAAACCTGTAAATCAAACCATCAAGCAAACCACCAGAAAAAAAAGAGCCAAGTCTAAGAGACTCCGAGGGGGAAGAAGCCCTCCCCTAAATACACATTCTTCCCCCCTCCTTCTCCAAGTACACCACCCATCCCCAAAATGTCGCCATCCAAGAGAACAACACGTAAACACCATACTCGCATCACCTCACGCAATCCACGCCACCGAACTCTCACGCTCTCACAATATATACATCTGTAGCTCGTTGTACCTCTGTACCACCAAGACTAGTCTCTCGATGCATCCTCAGCCCCATCAAGCAACCGAGACCAGAGATTCACTCAACCCTCCCTCCCGTGCCTTCATCGAGAGACTCGTCACCCGTTGACGCGGCTGAAGTCACCCACCGTCACCATCGCCATCGCCGCTACCGACCCGTCCCGTCCCACCCCCCGCAGTCCCATCACCACCGCACACACCAAACGATCCAACCACCCATCTCGCATACTCCTTCACCGCCTTACAGCCTCACCGATCGCGCCAAGCACATCAAGTCCCTACGTGCCTTATCTGCTATCCGCAGACTACTCCGTACCATTATCGAAACAAGGTTCTCTGACTAGCCAACCCCATTACCCAATATGCCCCCCGAAACTCAAAATCATCCTCTTGACTCTTGCAGTCCATACTGTGTACAACTCACACATAGTTCTCGCCATCCACCTTTCTTCCCAATCTTCACAATCACATCCTTAACGCCTTCCATACATAGGCGTCCTCGCCAATCCCACTGTGACTGCAGTCTGTAAACTCCTCCTCCTCCCCTGTAAACTTTGTTCCCGATTACCCTACGCACATATCTAGCGTGGATGGAAATGTCATGAAAATCACAATGTACATGTCAACAGAGTCCCAAGGATCCTTTTTCTGTATTCACAAACGTATAACCATTGTGTAATAATTTCAATCCTCGAAGGGCAGGATATCTTCTCACGTGTCATTGGCGAATACTCTTGGAATGACAGGTGGATATCCACAGGCAACAAATCCATTTCCGTTGAGCCTCAATCCACAAGCAAAATGCACCTCACGCGAGAGTTCCAACGACTTGACTTTACACCGTCTATAGCCGCCCATGGCCCGAAAAATGCCCATCAATCAACACATCACCACATGCCAAATCGCAACATCTCATCGTTTCAAACCATTCCCCTAGTCTACCTGAGGAAGGTAATCCAAGATTTTCCATAATCAAATTTCGCCACACGAACAAGAAAAAAACAAAGGTTCCCCGCGATCCTAGCAGATCCCAAAAGTCCCCTCAACCGCCAACATCCTTACCGCCTTCCGAATACCCCTTCCAAGGCCCGACGCTTAAGACCCCCCAAGGCTTGTAGGTCCCAAAGCCTTTCTTCACCTCCTTCTGGAAAAGGCAGTCGGCAAACACGAACCGAAAGGAACGATAAGAAGGGTGCCCCAGTCCAGCCAAGGAACATCCCAACCTCCTTCTAGAAGGCCACGATGGACGGTTGGGCCCCATACCGTCGTGACCGTGTACGAATAGAAAAGCAGCAGGAGGGGGCGGAAGAGAAGAAAAAAAGAGTGAACAGGGCCCCGCTAAAGAAGCGGGCAGCGCGCAAGGAAATGAGATATCACCCGCGGATCCCTGCAACGTACGGAGTAGTGTATGTAGACTTACACCCACCGGAGCCTTGTGCAAAGTTCACCGTCAAGTCCTTGCTCTTCTGAACCTCACACCCCTAGGATTGGCCCTGGGGCTCTCCATATCCATACGATGCTGACCGTATTCTTTGGTTGTCAACAACTGGCTTTCCTAAGGCGCCGTAAGGACCTGCAAGGATACTCCTCATCTCCCCTCTTCGGAGCGCCCGCAAGAAGGACCCCTATTTAACTCGAACTGCTCTGGTTGACTGGTTCTCCCTGGAACACCACATGGGAGATTCTGGGACCCCTTAAATTGTCCCTGAACACGTAACAATATCCATAAAACCCTTAGAAAATGAAGGCCACAGAAACTGCGATGACTGACAAGCCCCAGAGCAGAGCAGCGCAGATACCAACAGTCGCTGCCACAGCCATGTGCAAACGGGCGCACCATCGCGTAACGCGCGACGTCCCGAGCGGATCCCGACGATTTGGTAACATCATCTGCAAGGAGGTGGCGAACTTTTCCCGCACTGGGCTGCAGCCAGTGAGCCACAGAAGAACATGCTCACTGTGTGCAAAGCATCCGTACGAATACAGGATACTCTGGAGACTGCAGAATGCTCTAGAGTCGGGAGACTGGAGCTCTATCCGTGAACCGCGTAACCGATCGGACGAGAGTGGGAATTTCCGCATTCCACATCTTCTTGGGGCAAAGTTTGGTGGGATCGATGGCTGCCAACTGCCGAGGCGTGGCGGCCCCCGAGCGCACAAGCGCACAAAGTGGAATTGTCGACCTGGCGATTTTCGCGTCTGTAGACTGTCCAGTATCTACGGATACAGCCTGCGACCTGCCTCTGCACTCCCGAATCCCGTAGGCTGGCGGCGGCTGGTCCAATACGGGCTTCGCTCGTCTCTCGGACATGGAGCTGTCAAAATGTCTGTGATTTCGGCCCGTGTGGATGCCACTACTAGAGAAAATGAGAACTAGGTAATTCCGAAAGTGTGAATAAAAAATGGCCCCCACCACCAGGTAGCCGTAGCGTAGGGCATCGTCGTCCGACAAGTCCGATAATATGTCGGTCTGCCGACTTGAAGCGAGCGCGACATTGCAGGAGAAGGCAAAGAAGGCATACCAGTCGTGAGCCACGTCTTCGGCTTGGCCGCATTTGCCCTTCTACTGCGGTGAGTGATGGTCCGCAGCCCAACCTCAATTTCTCGAGACCTCTGCCACCTGTGACTCGTGAGTGTGACTTGACCGCCTGTCTGCCCACCCCGGTCATATTGTCGCAATTTCGCACGCTCTATCCGTACATTCGCTCCAGCAGTATCAACAGCAGCCAGTCCTTTGAAGGCGGTCAGCAGTTCATGTCTGGCGGTTGCTCTGCATCCACCTAGCATTGCACCAAATAACAATTGACATTGGAGTTAGGCCTCCATGCATCAGTGCGTTTTGTGACCCCTGTTCGCGCAACGTGTTCCTGGGCTTTGCTGCTTGCCCTGCATAAAGTACGTGGGAAACTCAGCACTCCAACCTCCGCTAGTAGATGCTTGCAAAAATAGTTGTTCAATATGTGATGTGAGATTGGGCTCTTCAACTAAAACAATATGCCCTAGTAGGGCGCGCCTATGCTCCTCATACGGACTCTGATGCCGTCTTGTTTGATTCCCATGTTCCCATCCACGCATGCTGGGAATCGTCGCTGCGCCGTAACAATTCAACCTTGGCGGCAGCACCTTCCTAATCCAAAAACTCCGGCTCTTCTGCGTCGTCGCTATGTCCTCTCGTATTTCGCATGCATAAGGTAGATAAGAAAGAAAAAGATAAAATAAAAACAATCCCAGCCCTGTTCCTGTCTGGCTGTGTGTTGTGCGTGCGCTATCCCTGAGTCATGTCGCTGCATCCCCGTTTGGTCATTTTGGCGTCACAACTTGGCCTGCATCTCACATGCGAAGGCCGAGTCAATGTCCCGCCAGGAGATGGGCTGTTGGCGTGGGGGGAAACTCTTGCTGGAGCCGGATCCGATGAAGAGTCCCCCACAGATTGCGCCCTCCGAGTTCTTCCCGCGTGTGAGGTGTGGATTTGTCCTCCGAGTGGATATGGACAAACTCACGGGTTTCGGGTCCTTGGAGCGATTTGTCTTTAGGTCCTTGGCCGAGTCCAGTGTCGAAGGAAATAACCGGAGGAGCGGAGTGAAATCGAGAAGGGTGGGAAGAAAGTTGATAGAAACAAATGTGATAATATGCATGCGCCTCAAATGCTCATGATCCCGGTCCGTCGCTATGCATGTGGTGTCGAATCAAATAAAAATCAAAAGTGCTGTGAGTGGTGGCCTGGTCCTTTGGCTCACCCGTGTGAGAGAGAATGTGTGTTGTGCCAGAGGCTTTGCAGCGTGCGTTGTGCTGAGTTGGAGGTGAAATGTGACCCCACGTCGCTGGCCAGTCTTAGCCCCGCATCTCTCAAGCTCACTCGCTATGAAGGAAATTCGGAGGTGCTCGTCGCATGTCGCTGGCATCAGGCCATGCTCTCGGAACCGGGCCGTGTAGGTACAGACGCTTGGCTGTGTATGCTGTGTGCGCTTGTGCGCGAAGGGTGTGTCGGACGTGTGTCCACCAATTCTGTCGTTCGAGAAAGCCCCCTTTTCAATCCGTTTCTTTCGTAGGGCAAATTCTTGCCAGCGCATCTCGCGTCCGTCGTTTTCCTTGGATTGCTCCGTCCTTCCCCTGTTTCTTTGGTACGCCTCGGGTGACTCACCCAGACTGCTCCAGCTCTCATCGGGCCTCGCGGTCCGCTCTCCTCAGTCGGTGGTACTCGCTTCTAGAAAAGTCGACAAACACAGCAGGTAGTGTTGACCCGCAAACAAAAAAAAGTGTGTGTGCTCATTTTGAAGAGAAAGCGTGCCGTCGGCCGTCGGCCATCAAAAAGTTCCTCGCCCGTAGGCGGCAGGCGGTAGGCGAAATGCAAAAGTGCCTCTAGCTATTACCAAACAGTAAGGTAAGAGCATGTAAAAAAGGCCCGCAGATCGACTCCTTCTAGAAGCGCAAGAAGGAACCGAAGAGAGAAAAAAAAAATCCTTGGGGGCGCTAGCCAGTCGTGCCAGTTCCAGCGTAACAGCGTCTCTCTTTTCGTCTTGGGTGCCCCAGACGGCGTCTTGGACGCTTCGGGCAGAAAATGGAGCCCTCGTCTCGGTACTCTGACCAAAGACCGACAGGGAAACCACAGTGCCCGACGCGCGATGATGCTGACCATTCCGCGATATCGGATAAGGCAGGCACTTAATGTCTGGCCCCTTGTTGCGTGGGAATGCGGGCCCCAACGCTTCCCCGTAAATTAGCGCCTCGGGGGGCCCTGCTGAATGACGATTCCACCCGGCAGTGACGGTGCAATCAGGGCAAGCCCACAACATGTCGCAGAACCCCGACCCTCCCACTTCTTGCTTTCTGCCCTTCTCCGCGGACAACACCGTCGTAGTGCAGCACGTTGCGGGAGGGGGGATGCGCCATGCCATGGAACAAGCCACACCCATCGTAAGAGCGAGGAAAAAACCAAGCTTGCCGTCGACCATGGGTGTTGGAACCTCAACCCTCGTAGGATTGTGACGTGCTCAAGCCGTGGAGACTGTCCACGCTGCGGCATCGGTGCGCAGCGTTACATCTCTCTTATTTCCCCCTTCGTAATGGGCTATGTCGGGTTGATGCGATAGAGGCTGGATAGATAGTCGCTTAATGTACCAAGCTCGCATGACACTTTTCTTCAATGCGACACTGGAATCCATCGTGCTGGGACGCCGTCGCTACCAACATCGTAAGGGCGTACGCTGGGCTTTCGCGGCGGTAGCGCCCAGCGAGCGCGGCCTGGCCGTTGGTCGTCGAGTTTGCCCTGCTTGCGCATCGCCATTTCCATGACTGCGATACGAATGAAGTCCGAGTTCTCCCGCATCTCTCGCTGACGCATGCCTCCTGGAGGATACGTGAATGCGGTCTGGGTCGGAGATTGTGCTGGGGGCTGATAAGGTGTTGACTGAGTCGTGACCGCCGATGTCGCCGGGGAGGGGCTCCGAGTTGATGTGGGTGGTGCACTCCGGCTTTTCTGAACCTTGTATGTTTGCATCTGGATAGACGCAGTAAAGCTTCGCGTGCCCGTCGGCGTAGTGGCCGCTACAGGGTGGGGCTCAATTCGGGCGTTTGTCGTGGGGTTCAGGTACCGGCGCAACGCAGCCGACGGCTCCTCCTCGAGAACTGGTGGCCTTCGCTCATCCGTGTAAGGCACCTTGGGGTCGATGGTGAGAATGGATCTTGTGAGGAAGTCGTCGGGCGGGATAGACGAAAAGTTAATGGCTGAGATGGATCGTGCAGCCGAGCGCAGGGCGCGGAGTGACGCAGTCAGATTGGACTTGAACGCTGACTTGAGAGGGCGCAGCGGAAAAGTGTAGTCAGAGAATGAGAACTCTGACTTGGTGTCCTCTTCATCCTGAGACTCGTCGAATACTCTAAAGTCAATCTCGTCGACGCTGACCCGGTCGTGGGACAGTGGGTGGTCCTCGGGCTGGCCGGGAGGAGATGAAATGGGTTCCAGAGAACGCCTGGGTTGGCGGGAGCGCTTCCTCCGCGGGCTGGATCCATAAGGTGACTCGACCGACGACAGTGTGTCGGTGGAAAAGGAATCGCCTAGTGAGGGAACCGATTCCACAGAAACAGTTCTGGTGGATAATACGGAACCAAGACCGCTATCGCTAACTGACATATCATCGTCTGTCAGGTCGTCGGGTGGCGATAACAGCAAGTCTAGGGGGCTCTTGCCAAAAGTGAGACTAAGTTCCTTTTCGCAAACTTGTTGTCTCTCGATAACGGCTTCCAGAGTCATTGCCTGGTCTCTGGAAAGCCTCTGCCTCAAGCTGCGTCGAGGCCTAGGAATGTCAGTGACGGCCAACAAGGCCAGCATGGCAGGCGGGACGGCGTCCGGTGAGTGGACATCCCTCGGCCGGGAGGGCTTCCGATGCGCATGGCGGTTGGAGGTGTAAAACGGGGTCGCCTTTGATTTTGACGGAATCTGAACAGGCGTAGTCGGGGTCGTCGGTCTGGTGTTTACGCTTGTTGTTGTGCGAGGGGGGCTCGAAGGCGCCAACTTAGAAGTTTCGCGGCGAGCATCCTTCCTTTTGGCCATGGTAGCTGAGGTGGTAACGGGAGAAGCAGGGATAGGCGTGAGGGTGACGGACACGTTCTGAGCATCCTTTTTCCGATCCAGTAGGGCAGAAGGCAAAGCCGTTCTGGGGATGTTGACGGGAGTGGTTGTTGTCGTCGTCTTCGTAGCAGCAGCAGCAGTCGTAGTAGTCGTAGATGATCTCGGGCTGGCGGCGTAGCTGTTGTTGGTCGGTTTGCGCGTGAGACTCGGAGGGGAGGGAGAAGATGGTGGAGGGGTGGTCGAGGCCGAGGGCTGCCTATTGTAGTAAAGGAAACTCCTTGGGGACATCATGGCGGCGTCTGGACATGCCCTGGTGCGCCAGTGGCTCGGCGGGGCAAGCCGGACCCGACAGGCAAGACAGGTTGACAGGGAAGGGGTGTGGAAGGGGACCAGACCAGGCACGAGTGCGCACGAGCACAACCACAACCACAACCAGCTCGGTGCCGCACTGCGTTGGGCAGGGGAGTAGGGTGTAACTCGGGGTGTGGTGCTGTAACCGGGACTGGGCCTGGCAAGGCAGGTCAAGAGCAAAAGCAAGCGGGCTACTGCGGGCTCAGTCTTGACTGTTCAGCATAAACCCCAGCGGGCCAGGCTAAGCAGGAGATGGGTTGGGTTGACCAGTGGAGTTGCGTGGGCACGGCGGGCTGGTGGTTCAGACACCACAGACCAAACCAGTGGATTCACTGAACTGATGTATTCCGTACAGGCCACACAGTGTTGGTGCCAGCAAGGGCGAGAGTACTGTGCTGTGGACGAAGTAGGTAGGGATACCTACACGATTAGGGGACCAGTTCGGTCAGAATTTTGGCGTCGAACGGACGTGCTCGTCTGGCCTTTGGCTTTCTGCCTTTTTCTCCAGCGCGTGTACTGTATCCTCTTTCGGTCGCTGTTCGAGTGTGTCGTGTGCCGGGGGCAGGGGTCGTCGATGTTTTGGTAACGTAAAGTTAACCGTCTCGCAGCTAATCAGCGTTGAGGCTTTGTATAGTCCTTCTCCAACAGGAATCGCGACGGAACTTTCAAGGGCAATGATTGCTGGGACGTGACGCAGCGGAGCACGGGGCCGAAAGGCTTGTATCGTGTAATGCGATGTGATGCGTGGTTCCTGGTGGTATTCGGACCCGGCTTTTGACTGGAGCTGCAGACGAGGCGAGGGATCGAGAAGCAAGGAGGCGGGCTGGGAGAATGTTGCTTGCTGCCCTTGCAGATACCTACTGACAGCGTCGGATTTGGGTTGGGTTTGTGTGCACCGGTAAGGTCGGTGCAAAGCGCGGTTTGTCACTTGTCTTGTGCTTGAATAGAGTGTGGAGAGCCAAGTGCGCGCGAGTCGGGTACTTCGTCAGAGGTTAAGAGATGACGATGATCGACCGTGTGGAGGATGCTATTATCGATTTGCACCACAGGGAAAGGCCTGACGGTGACTTGGGGTATTGATGCTTTCGTACTTGTGAGATGGAAGGATAGGACGTCGTGGATCGTCACGAGGAGAAACTCGAGACTCGAGATGACGATGTTGTCTATTAGTATTAGGTACGATTAGTCGGATGTTCGTCTCGGAAAGGCTGGACTTGGAATTCTGTGTTGGTCGAAATCCGGGGTTATCGGAGTAGATGTTGAGGAAAAGGGTACTGGTTCGCTATTGATATCGTATCCGTTGCGCAGTGCCTTGGTCGAGAAGGAGAGATGACGACAGTCGGCGAGTTGAGGAGTGGCGAAGTGAGGAAGCGAGAGAGAGAGAGAGAGAGAGAGCGACTCGCGTACTTGGCGGCACAGTCGCAGTTGGGAGGTTGAGAATGGCTTCCTAACAAGAAGCAGGCACAATATGGGAGGCTCTCTGGTTTTAGGTGGCCAAGCACAGAAAGGTTATCAGACTGGATCGAGGTTGCCCTGACTGATTACGGATGCTACAGATATGTCACTTCATCGAGGAAATCGAAGCACAGAGAACTTGGAAAGGCAGCGAGCGAGCAGCAGATGGGCCGTGGACTGGGGCAAGCACTGATGCTCTGACACTGATAACCCTGATACGGGGGGGCCAAGATGGGAGGCCAGAGATAAGGAATCGACGGGCAAGGTGTTGAGGGTGTGTCGTGGTGTGTCGACGGTCGTGGAGCGTGGTGTGGTGTCCCATCTGCCCTGCCTGCTCAGGCCCGGGCGGGACAACTCAGCACGGGACAGTTGCCAGTCACTCACCCACTCACTCACTCACTCCCACAGCCCCGGCAGAGAAGGAGATCAATCGTAAAAATGGCTGAATGACTAGAGGCACGGGGGGCAAGAGGCAAAGCAAGGCAGAGCGAGGCACGCCGCATCTCTGGGAAAGGACAACCTCACACCACGGTCTCAGCTGAGGAAGGACACTTCCATCCGTGAGGTAGGTAGGTACCTAGGTACCGGTAGACATTCTTTCCTTCTTGTCCCATTTTCTCTTTCCCTCTCTTTCCTTCTCTTCTTCTACTTGCCTTTCTGCTGCGCGAGGGTCCCTTAAGGTAGGTATCTGTAAAAAGTGGAAGGTACGTGGGTACGTGGTGACTTGGCAACTTGGGAAGGCAGCATGAAAAGTGAGCCTGGTATTGGATGGAGGTACTTGTAATATCGGCCCAACATGGAGGAAGAAGGAAGGAGGTGCGCCTGCCTCGTTTGCTCCCTCCCGTCTGTCTGCCTGCCCGATTTGGAGATGTTTCTGTTCGTACCCGGTCACCAAAGGAAGCAAGACCGAACGACAAACGAAGGATGGGCGCACCGCCGCACAGGCCCGGCTGGGTACCTACACACCACACCTAGGTCCCTATGGAAGGAAAGCCAGAGAGAGACGGGAGGGTTCACTTTCCATTTCTATTGTCACCGTGTCACGTTTTGGTTGCGCATGAAGCAAAGTCACTGATAAGAACCTCGAAAGACTCCAATCCCCTTTCCCCCATGTCCTTTCCTCCCCCTTCCCACCGGCTACTGGCACAGCGTCACCTCTCACCCGCATGTTTTGGGCTTAGAGTTTGGGGTGACATGAGATTTTGGGGGTCCAAGACGGCCAAGGGCCCAAGGGGGAACACGGGGAATGGAGACCACGGGGGTCACTTTGTATCTCTTCCGTTTCTATGTCTCTCCGTCAGAGTCTCACTCGGATACCTGAATCCAAAGGTCACGCGCCAGAGTTCCAAGCCCTGAGTGCAACCCCAGTCCAAGATGCTCCGTATCACTCTCCAACATCAACCTAGAAATTCCGTCTATGAACATCCGTACCTTTTTGTTAATCACAGATTAAAAATGCACACTCCGGGCAATGCCCGAGTTCCATCTCACTGTAACAATTAAATGACATGGCCGACGGCCACTGGCAAGCACGGAGCCCTCCTCCCTCCATGCGCTAAATGACACTCTCCACAGGCCTGAACTGACCCCTTTGCGCCCATCAGTGGCTCTGGAACAGTGGCAGATGGAAACCAGCCCGTCATAATAGTGGACTCATTTGATGAGTCTAGCGGGCATGGTCCAAGACAATCAAGACAATCCCACGACTCTTCAGCAGGGTCTCACCGTGAGAGTGCCCGGCTGACCCGATCATAGGTGGCCCCCGTCGACGGTTGTGGAAATGGCGGACCGCCACTCGTTATTTGGTTATGGGCCAATGAGAGCGATGGAATTGTTTCGGGGATAAGGAAGGAATCGACCACCTTATGTAAGACGCATAACTATCCGTAAGATAGGTACCTGTGTTCAATCAATGGAAGTCTGGGAGATGTGGATGTCGAGCTCAAGGCAGTGGGCGGTGACGACGGTACTTTGCAGACCCGTTTATGTCCCACTTCCTGGCACGCTGTTCTGCTGCATTGCACCTATCAAGCTGTCTGCCTCCACACTGCGTGACTGCCTGCCTCCAAAAGGCCTCCAAAAGCTGGCCACTGGTTGGAAGGCGCAGTCTGGCAGTTCAGCTGAGGTGGAAGGTCCAGCCTTGTTATGCAACGTGCACAAGCTTCCATTCTCCTGCCATTATATGCGTATCGGCTCGTTTATGCGAGTCCAATCAGTGCATATCTAATCATGTACCTAGGTACCTTGCATTTGACTTCAACCTGTCGTGTGCCTCGTGCTTCTCCTTCTTATCAGCGCCCACCAAACACCGCAAGCCACCATCCCTCCCCCCCATCGACACTTTCGTCCCATCAATGATTCCTCCCCCATCTTGTCCGACCTTCTCAGGCGCCAATTGCACATCTTTCCGAAAGCCCTCCGTGACACCTCCATCTGGATCGCAGGTCCCGGCCGACGGAACCAGTGTGAATAATCTACACAGTAGCGTGCCTAGCAGCTGCTGTGCGTGTTGCTGCCCTGGGCTGACCAGAACCCTAGATATCAAGCAATGATCGTCTGTAGAGGTTGCTAATTCTTGTGACCATTCTCAGATCTCGGCCCTCGACTCCGAAGAACGCTGGGGAAACAAGACGCACCGGAACTTCCGTTCGATTGTGAACACTAATATCCGTATCGCGCCTGGAATTTCGGACGGAGCTCAGCCCGAGAGCCAATGCCCATATCATCGGCCCCGTTGTCGGAGTCTTCATCACTCTAGTCGCAGGCCTCAGCAACGTCCGGTCCTTGGCTTTCTTATCGGCCTTCTCCGACCCCAGGTTATTGCTAAGCCGTGCGACGGTGCGTTGCTTTCTCGCTCCTCCACCAGCTTGCAGACATCCCCGACCATTGCCTTTTGTTTCTCTCCATTTCTTCAACCCCTGTCGACCTATACCATTCGCTCTCATCGACTAGACAGGCAGGCGAACGGAGAGCAACCTTTGACCATCTACCAACAGGCTAGTCTTAGCGCCATTTCCAACTCACTTTCCGTCCCATCCGCTCTGATGGTCGCCCAATTGCCCAGGCCCCATGTCGTTCGTTCGTCTGCTTGATCCAATAGCACTTGGCCGGAGCTTGTCGATGGTCCTCGGGAGACCGATACGGGATCCCACCCGTGCGACGGCCTACGTCGATCCTCTGGGCGCCTCTCCCGCTTTCAGCACCGTCGGCCGTGTCATCACCATCTTCACCTGAGCAACAAGAGCAATACGTCTGCGCCAGGTTAAACAAATGACGGATGGGATGCTCGCATTCCCGATGACTGTGAGCTCGCTCGCTCGTCCGTCTGTCAAGCCACATCCCGGGCAGAACGCTTCAACATTGGCATCCATAAAGTCCGAACCAGCCTGACCTACTATATTCCTCGCCTCGGCCACAAAAGCCAACGCTTGGGCAACAAGCCAGAAATTTGCCTGATTCAAATCGTCAGTCCTGGATAGTATTTAGGTTGTCACGTTGTGCCCCGAGGTGTGCCTCGCTAGCAAGGGCAACTTTCATAAAAGCCCGGAAGCCACGCGGCTACGGTGGTATTCATGGAAGAACTGCCTCTAAATGATATTGAGGACTGTCTCAGTGGGCGTTGTCTCACCCGTCTCGTCCGCCTTACCCCACCATCTTGGCCGCCCATCACTTCCATCCCTATCAACACCGCAAACATCCAGCCACCGATTCGGTCTTTTGCATCAGTTATAGATGCCTGAATGCGACGCATCGGGCCAGTAGCAACCGCCCAGATGAAGCTCACAAAGCAGGCAGCACATTATCTCACCCGTCATTTGTCGCATACATGACGGACCAATCGACAAATGCAGCCATGTGTAGCAACATGAGACGACTCTGGTATATTCGTACCCTCCCAACGGTGTATGGAACTAAAAGAGACCACATTCAAACACCGGGCCAGCCAGCCGCTTACACACATGTGTGCGTGGTCAAAAACCGACCAGACTGGAAAGTTACCTAGCGCATGGCCAGGCGCGAGCAAGAGTCATCATCTGCACCACCCTAAATCTAGCGACGCCATCCCACACCCTCACGAGGGTCTCAGATGCTGCCTTATCGCTCTCTTCTGATTCGCTTGTTTCTTCTCCAACTCTGCGTCATACAACGCCGGCATCGTCGACTGGACTCTCGTGCGGGTGTGGGTGGGAACGGGGATAGTCGTTGTGGGTTCTTGGAGGTTCAGCAAAGAACTGAGTCGGAGCCATGTCAAGACATGGCTGACTTCTCCATGGTTTGCGGGGTAAAGCCAGGTGAATACCTACCTCTGCCCAGCCGTCGGTATCCATCGCTTGTCCAAGGCTCAACGTCACGAATGTCTATGGATATTACTCGTTTCTCCCTTGCGACGGCGCATCTCGCAGCTCGACAGCATCGTATTGCTGCCGCGCACGAGATGGGGGCACGAGCATTGGCGGGCCGCACAGGCTTCCTTTCTATGCAAGTTTCGATATTGATCCGTTGGCCAAGTTACGGCAACCTCTAAGGTAGGCGACTGACTGCGCGGACTCCAGCACCAACATCAGCGCCAAGACCCCAAAACACGGCTCCGGATCTCAACGGCGTCCTGTACTACCGCACGGCCCTTCACTCTCTAAACTCAAACCCGCCAAATGCGCGATAGCCCGATACTTCACTATTCGTAGTCGTGTGGCCGCTTATTCCGGTACCACCCCTTCGAGACTCTGTCTTGTGCATGGCTGCAGACCTCACGTGCTCCCCGTCTACTACTATTCGTGATCACACTTTGGCAGCCATGTGCTCCATTAGCAGTTGCTCACAGTATGGGTGCTCCTGGTAGGAGACATTCGGACGGGCTGTCACGTTCATGTCTTGACGACGCGGCCTGCCACCATCGGGCACATAGGTAGAGCTACAGTAGACATGAGACGTGGTTGGTACTAACGAGGTGTCTTTCCAACCGAATGTCTCCTCCAGGTCTAGACCTTTTAGTCAGCTCGTGGCTTATTCTTGAGGCACTCCCTGCTGCTTGCCTCACGGGCACACTTTCGTCTGGTGAAGCTTTCTCCGCGTTGGCGCTGTTGATGGTGATGACTGGAGCTACAAGACAAGCCTCTCGCGGGGAATGGTGTAAACCATTCAAACCCAAATTCCAACCTCTGGTCGCTTATACTGTTTCACAAGGCCGTTTTCCTTATGCTCATGTGCGATTTTAGGTGCCCGCAAAGGGCGACCCATCACGAGCTCGGGGATTAGAGAGATACTAGGCAGTCTC